GGCAACCAAAGTCAATGGGAAAGTCAGATTCACTTAACGACGGTGTTATTAACTTAACCATTACAATATTTGCTTAACAACTGTGACAAGAAAGGACAAAAAAAGGAGCAAAGTTCACTTAATAAATGTCTCCAATAGCAACATAAATGTTGGGCTCAATTGTGGTCGTAATTTGAGGACTACTTGTGGGAAAGAAAAGGTGCAAATGCCTGTCCTGAAATTTGATATTTCTCAGGTTTTGTATCAGAATTAGATGCCAGTCTAATCCAACAGGACTCCGAGTGGTTTATATTCCTTTCTTACAATAAGAATATTAAAACAATAAGACTGTATAACAAATTAATAATTTCCATAGCACAAACAATATTACATAGATCTTAAACCCACCCAGAACAATAACACACAGATCCCCTTCCAAGTCTTTCTAAAAATGTTAGATTTTATGGCTTTCCTAAAATATAACAAAATGAAGGCTAATTTAACCACAAGAGATAGTATTTCAAAGAAGAGGAGCTTCAGTCAAGAAGATATCATTTCATAAGCCTTGATCATGACAATGCTTGAAAGATGGGATCTATAGGGCACCTATCCTACTCAATCTTATTGCTCCTATGTGTGGCAATCCATGGTTTGCTAGTTTACATTTTCTTGTAATTCCTAAAATGCCTCTTAATGTAACCATACTTGTTAAAATGTAGTCCTTTTTGGCAAGGAAGTGAAGCTTTCTGAACCCCTTTCAGTTAAGTAACAATAATAGCTTAATTGGCGTATTGTTTAGTATTTCTAACAAGTGTCAAGTTAAGAAACATTTAGGTAGTTTTGTCTTACCGTATTTTTTGGACTATTAGACACACCGAATAAGACACACCATGATTTTGAAGAGGTAAATTAAAAAACATTTTTTTGCACTCTGCAGGCCTCCCAAACTCTCTGCACACCTCATTTTTTGCAAAAAGAAAAAAAAGGGCATGCAGAGCTTTGTGCTCCTGAGGGCTGGGGAGAGCAAAAAAAAAAAAAAAAAAGGACTGTTTTTTGGAGTGGGCAGGAGCACTCTACAAGCCTCCAAAACCCTCTGCAGGTTCGTTTTTGCAAAGGGGGCAGGGTTTTGGTAGGCCAAAAATGCTGTATTCAGTGTATAAGATGCACCCAGATTTTCACCCTCTTTTTTGAGGGAAAAAGGTTCGTCTTATACTTTGAAAAATACGGTACTTTATCTCTTGTACACCCTTTAGAGCAGTGGTTCTCAACCCGTGGGCCGGGACTCCTTTCGGGGTCGAACGACCCTTTCATAGGGGTCGCCTAAGACCATCTGAAAACACATATTTTCGATGGTCTTAGGAACCGAGACACCAATTTTATGGTTGGGGGTCACCACAACATGTAGAACTGTATTAAAGGGTTGCAGCATTGGGAAGGTTGGGAACCATTGCTTTAGAGTATATAACAGGTATAATTTTAATGCGGTATTGTTTTTTTATATAGATAATCCAGGAATCACAAATAAAGGAGTTCGGTGTCTGCGTCCTTTCAAGAAATTGAACTATTTGGATCTCTCTGGAACTGGCCTCAGGGTAAAAAGAAGTGTTTACTTTAACATCTAGATTTAGGCACATGTATATTTACACACACACACCATACATTCACACATATAAAAAAGGTCAACATTTCTGTTTTGTCATAAGTCTTGTCATTGACTTCTTTGTTTTATAGAATGGGTGGATTCACATATTAATCTTAAGCCATGATTTGTTTTAAATGTTGCCAGAAAACATGCTGATAAGATCTGGCAGAATCAGCGTGCTTTGAGTCCTTTCTGTAAAACAGTGTCTTCCGTTGGGGGCTCCTCATGGTACGTGCCCTCTGGAATGATATTCCACTCTGATTATACTCCATGAGGTGGTGAAATCCTTGTTTCTAGGTCTTGGGACAGAGTAGCGTGAAAGCCCCTGTAAGATTTTGCTTGCTATGACTTTGTTTTGTTTTACTGAGTTCCTCTAGATATATATCATTTGTTTGCACCCAGAATCATCTGGAGCTAGGCATTCTTTCAATCAGTAAAAATAAATAAATGAAGTCAGTGTGGTCACCTCATTGCACTAAGCTACAAAGCATTGTTTACAAACAAAAAGGCTGAATTTAAACATTTTGAAAAGCCAAACCATTAGACATCATTGTATATGACACGAATATAGCCAATCTAATTTGGTTTCTCTTTATTGCTAGGTCACAAAAGAAGTCATTGATCAAATCCAGATGCTCATAGAACTAGTCCACTCAAAGATCCCTTTGAAAGAATTTGATCATAGCAGCTGCAAAACAGAAGGATGGGCAGAGCAGGTACTTCCTAAATTACTAATATCCATTTTTAATAATAATAAAAGGATGAATTTGTGGGTCTGAATATTTTTAAAATGTCAGACATCAATAACAAAGACATATTTTCTTTTTTAATGCTTGAATATTGTACTCATAAAGTATAAGTGCAAGAAGATATGATGAAGTGCAAAAATGTACCTTTGCTTATATAATCAAAAAATATTTAAATGAGTAACATTTGGAGAAACATACATAATATATTAATATAGAACTAGCTCAGTCCTTTGACATGTTATTAAATGTTGTTCCATTTTCTCAGTTTTTATACATTATTTTAGCATAATTCTTAATATTCTGTTATTTAGATGCATTAAAGTTTTATATATATATATATATATATATATATATATATATATATATAACTGTATATTCTACCAATATTAATTATAGTTTTGTATACTATTACAAGTATTATGTAATATAATATATAATTAATTTTAGTGCCCTTCTTTGAGAGAGGTTTAGAATGATTATTTAACAAAAAATGTATTTTTAAATGAATTATTATTTTTGGTTTAAGACTGTAAAGGATAGTTATTACAGAGATTATAATGCATATTCTTTCAATTCAGTTAGCTATCACTTAGTTTTGACATTAATGACACTTGTTCATCCTAAGTATCATAATTTATACACAATTAAGTAATATATTTTGCATTTAGATTGATTGTCATACAGAAATCAGTGTACTCACTATTGAAATTAACTTTTTCAGGTTATCTTGCAGTGGAAACATACAGTCCTAGAAGTAGTTAACTCCAAAGAAAGTATAAAATCTAGACTAGCAGCTCAACATTTCTGTAAGTAATTCAATAAAGGCAGTTGTTTCCAATCTAAAACTACTTTTTAAAAAAGCGAGGTATATTTTTGCTCACTGAAGCTGTGAGCTAAAGGGTTTGTACAGAAACAGATGGTAACAGTTAACTTGAAATGGATTTTTAAAAACTGCTCTCTCCTTATGAAATAAGATTCCCCCTTTCCTCAGGCTTCATTTAAAATGACTAGAAGAATTAAAAGCAGTAATCCTTTGAACATTTTGGAAGCCTTCAAAATGCCTTATCTATATAAGTTAATATTCTTTTCTTGATGCTGCTAGCCCAAACATAACAACATAACAATGCAGTTGTGACCACTTCATGAGGGGTTTGTTGTTGTTGTTGTTGTTGTTTGCAGATGGAAAAAGACCCAGAGCACAAGGACCTCCAGAATCACTGTTAGAGGGAAAGCAAAGAGAAAATTCTGAGAACTTGCAGTTCTACAAAGAAAGAACAGAGACATCAGATAATCTCTTACCACAAAGAGACATGGAAATGATTGAAGAATTCCCAAAGAGAAGGAGAACTGCAGCGGAGCAGAAAAAACACCCCCTTCAATCAGAACTCTTTAGCTTTTCACAGACAGAATGGGACCTGCTAAACTCTTATTGAATAAAGTGAACATTTCAAACTTAATTGGCTGATGTTCAGCTTTGTCTCTCTTGGAAAATAAATGGTGCATTCTATTTTTGCAGTTGATGGACTGGAAAGAAATCAACTTTAAACCACTGTAAAGAAAATGAAACACTTGCTATACTTCTATACATACAATAAATGAACACTTTACCATGTTTGGGTAAACATAAGGAGAATTCACTGAGAAACTGATGGAAATGATACTAGCTATGATTCATTTTTTCCCCTAGTGTTGATTTTTGTTGGGCGTCTTAATTCATGCAAGTCATTCTTGTGTGTTGTATCTGAAGAAACAGGGCAAGACTTAGCCACAAGAAATTAAATATGATACAGTAAACAAAAGGGTTGAAAAGTGTTATGGTTGAACTGTTTATGTAAATTGTGATGTTCAAAAATATATATTTGTACTTTTTTTTGGGGGGGGGAAGTAATACAAGACTGCATATGCAGTTTCAGGTTTTAAAATTCGGAGCTCGCCAACTAAGTTTAACCTTTCCACATTACAAATTGTCCTGGCCAGGCCAAGCACATCCAAATACATGAAGGGTGGCTTTATTCTCTTCACTAAATGAAGCATGCAAACACACACATTTGCAGTATAGAAATAGGTTCCCTGACAGGAGTTTAGCAATTTTGGCTTACAGGTGAATAAAAGCAGCACCCAGAACAATCAGGAAGAGTCTTGAGGGTCTAAGTTTATAGTAGCATGATAGTTAAGTGGATCTGGCTTACCCATTTACTTTGCTTGTCAGAAGTTTGCAAAAGCTGACCCCAGGACATGGCAACTGTTGTAAATATGAATCGGTTAACAAGCATCTGAATTTTGATCATGTGACCATGGGAATACTACAATAGTCGTAAGTGCGAAAAATGGTCACTTTTTTCAGTACTGTTGTAATTTTGGTCACTAAATGAACTGAACTGAGAATTACCTGTATTAAAATAATTGCTGTGAAAAGAATCTCAAATATTTAGGAATGTGGGATGAGGTATTCATAAATTTGGCAGCCTTTTCTTTGCATATAATTATGTGATTTCTTTCCCTGACTTTTTCTAGCTAGTATCGCTCCTCTCCTAGCCTGCTATCTAAATATCAGACATGGCTGTTCTGTATATTTAAACACTTCTCTCATAAACAACGGAAGCTGATATAAGGTGAAAGTTCATAACCTCTCATTTACAAATAAGGTGCTTTTTATTGGTACTTGCGCATCTGTGCAAGATTTGAAGATTATAAAGACTGAATGTAAGCAAGTTGCTGATCCGGAAACAGCCGTGTCAGGCTCTGTGGCAAACTGAGTGAAAATCAAAATCCTCTTGTCTGTCATGGATAAATGGCTTCACTGTGAGAACTAGGTGAATACAGAGCCAAACAAACGGCCCCTGCAACCAAGCAGGGCAAATGCTGTGAAGAGCAACAACACTGAATAAAACATTCTTTGTGAGGTCCCTTTAAAATTAACTGCAATTTCACAACAGCCTGGTTCTCAGTGGATTATTTTTTTAGTTTGTCCAAGGTTATAGTCCATCCTCTGCTTATCTTGTACAGCGGTATTCATCAGACCAGTCAAAGCAGTGTTGTATTCCATCTCGACAAAAACTTCTAGGAATGCAGGTACAATAATCATGGAAGACCACCAGGGTACAACTCCAAGATTCAGGTCCACAAGGAGGACAGTTGGCTTCTACAAGATTAAAAATACACACACATGAACTCAAGTAATAGGATTTTTCTTCCCAAAAATCATAACAGTGGTTGGTGGTTAATCCTACCTAAGTGTCCCCCACCCAGAACTCTGAAACATTAGCTGTGGACAGTGCTTACTTAGACTTATGAAAACGCTAGCCGTAACACACCTGAAAGGTTCAAGATTAGAGAAATCGTATGCCGAAGAAAATTCTGAGTCTTTTAAATATATTTACAGTATGTCAACACAATCTCTTGATCTTATTTACGAGGCTATTTCAGGGGGAAATCCTGTTGGTCAACAAATGACACAGCAACTCACAGCACTTTACTTTCCATTGTGCTTCCTAGTCAAACATGATCTGCCAGTTTTGTATTACTTCTTGAATATATTATGCCTGTATGGTGTGGCAGAGCATGTACAGAAAAGAAAGCAATGCATAGACCATAATGGAACAGGTATTTTTAAAAACCCTTAGTGGGAGCTGATCAATTTATAATTACAGGTAGTCTTCAACTTACGACCACAATGGAGTCCATAATTTATGTTGCTAAGTGAAAAATTTGTTAAATGTGTTTTGTCCCATTTTACGAATTTGACTTTTCTTGCCACCTTTGTTAAGTGAGTCACTGTTGTTAAATTAGTAACAGGGTTATTAAGTGAATCTGGCTTCCCAATTGACTTTGCTGGTCAGAAGATCACAAAAGGTGATCCCATAACCCCAGGATACTGCAACTATCATAATTATGAACCAGTTATCAAGCATCCGATTGTAATTCACGTGGGGATGCTGCAATGGCCATAAGTGTGAACAATGGTCATGTCACTTTTTTCAATGCCATTGTAACTTTGAATGGTCACCAAATGAACTGTTGTAAGTCGAGGACTAGCTGTATAGCCATCCATAAACTCTGGCTTATGGCCTTGAAATGGAGATGCGCACTGCCCCACCTCCCCTAGAGTTCGCAATGACTAGCAGAGTAAAATTCACAGGGATTCAGTGGTAGGATTAAAAAAAAATACTGTTCGTTCTGTGGGCATGGCCTAGTGGGCGTGGCATGGCTAGGTGGGCATGGCAGGGGAAGGATACTGTAAAATCTCCCTTCCCTCCCCTCTCCAGGGGAAGGTTACTGCAAAATCCCCATTTCTCCCAGATCAGCTGGGACTCGGGAGGCAGAGAATAGATGGGGCTGAGGCCAGTCAGAGATGATATTTACCAGTTCTCCGAACTACTCAAAATTTCCACTACCGGTTCTCCAGAACTGGTCAGAACCTGCTGAATACCACCTCTACAGGGACTCCTTTCCTTATGGAGCCAACTCTTTTCTCATCTACTGGCCAGAAAGTCAAACGACCTGTATAAGGAAGAACATCAACAAAACAGGAACAGACCAACCAGCACAGCATAGTTCTATGCTGCGTTACACTTAATTCCTTTGCTCTTGACTTGAATAACTAGTCTTCTGTTTCCCCTCTGTTGTATATGTTTGTGTATGAGTGTGTATGTATGTTGAGGGCAAGGTCAACTAATGGAAAACAAACCCTGTGGGAGACAACTAAAGCTTTAAAATATTCATTTATATTTAAAACCATGACTTTAATTTTTCAGCAAATAAAGGACTCACGTGACCCTATTTCATCAGAACAATCTCCACAATCATTAAATCCATTACACTTTTTGTCGGCATAGATCCAAAGCCTGGGATTCTTGCAATAAAATATCAAGTGTCCAGGAAGGCTTTTTGGCAAATCACCTACCAAAACAAACAAATGAATGTAAGCTTATACTGTTGTAAAAAAAAAAAAAAAAAGTTTCCTTAAAATGTGACCAGTCAAGAAAAGACATTATGCTAACAAATAAATCTAGACCTGACAAGTAAATATAAGGGATATCCCCGCAATGTTGATGAAATACTTATTTTGCTTAGAAATGCAAGCTATTAGTTGTTGAAATATTTATTGCAGAATAAATTTGATGATTAAAAAAACCTGATTACTTCAGTTGTGTTTTTTTGGTTTAAACCTTTTGAATGCCAAGTTTAAATATTTGTATATACTGATTGTAATTCTAAAGTGTGTCTAAAAAATAATAATCCAGTTTTGCTTAGTTAAACTGTCCCCTTGAATTCTGAACTGTTTTTCACCCATGAGAATGGCCTTTTAGAGAGTACTGTACAAAAGTAGAGATTCCTGGTAAAATGAGCTTGCATGCCAAAATAGGATGCATTGATCAAACTTGCAGTTTGTGCAATGATTTATTAAATAATCCATAAATGTCTGTGTTCACACAATATACTAAACCAAAACCAAACAAATCACACTAAATCAGGGCTGTCAAACTCACGGCCCTTGGGCCAGATGTGTCATGTGCTGCCCACACCCACGTCAGTGGTGGGATTCAAATTTTTTTACTACTAGTTCTGTGGGCATAACTCAGTGGGCATGGCATGGCTTGGTGGGCATGGCTTGGTGGGCATGGCAGGGGAAGGATACTGCAAAATCCCCATTTCTCCCAGATCAGCTGGGACTCGGGAGGCAGAGAATAGGTGGGGACGGGGCCAGTCAGAGGTGATATTTAACGGTTCTCCGAACTACTCAAAATTTCCGCTACCAGTTCTCTAGAACTGGTCAGAACCTGCAGAATACCACTTCTGGCCCACATCCAGATTAGTGAAGGGAGGGGGGAAAGTCGTGATATATCATGTGACGCGACCATAGCATGTTCAACTCTAAAGAGAGCTTACTGTGAGAAGAATATTCTAGTCGGAATCTCAGCTGGGATTGTGTAAGAATGACATAGGATTCAGCTGCTTGAAGAGGAAGAAATTTATTCAAGAACATAGAAGCAGCACTTGAGGTAGTTACAATTTGGGGTACAGAGACTAGAAATATTTATAGGAGAGATGGTCCTTTGTGCGGTGTATGTAAGTGTGCCCTTGTTTGGTAGATGTTCAGGTCTGATGGAAAAGTTCTTATCTTACTTTGCTTAGTGTGCATGTAAATCTTTTTCCTTTGGTGTGTGCTTATGTGCTGACTTTGGATGCCATTTCTGTGTACCCAGGGAAACTCTGTATTGGAAAAGGGTTTTCCCTGCCTGCTATTATTTGCCAGATTAATTAGGTTAGCCTGGCCATTATATGAATGGAGGAAGTGGATTAGCAATCTTTGCAACATTGTATTGACTTTGTTTGCAACACAGTATTCTAGTTTCAGTTACTTATGAGTCAAGTTAATTATCAAAAGGAGGGTTAGAGACCATATAGGTATACAAATAAATCTAATTTTGAATTAAAATTCTTTCCACAATACAACTCATTAGTGCTCAGACATGTTAAGACAAAGGCTGGCTTCCCACAACCTCCTAAATCATAAACTACTACGTAATTCCAGTTCAGCCTAATTTAAGATGTCAAGTCAGTATGCTTTATTCTAAATCTAGCTTCTGAAAAAAGTGGAAATAAAGTAAGTGTGAGGTGGGACGGTGATCAACACCTATTGACACATTTCATTTAGAATCAACTTCTCAGATCAAATCTGTTAATTGTAATCTTAAAACAAAATGGATCAATTTTCCAAAAAGGGACACCTAGAGCTTGTAGTGGTGAGGCTAAAGAAATGCAGAACATTTGAATCTTGTTTTTGTCCATAGCCTAATTCTAATTTAAAACATAATGTTCTAGAATATTCAGATATAATGTAAGCTATCCAAAGTCAATGAGAAGTCCTTCTAACTTCTCATTTCCTGCTGTCCTTTGCTGTATTTTCCTGAATTATGCTAGCAGATTTTTTAAAATAATCCCAATGGGCTCATCTTCAAATAATTACATAGTAAAACCTGGTTGACCATATGGACTGGGAATAAGATGAGGAAAAATGAATTGGAGCAGAGGATGAATGCAAACAAGATTTGACACTAAAGCACAAACTTCCATATTGTTGGCAGGACAATGCAACTGTATTAAAAATATTTGCTGAAATGAGAAATATGCACAGAGACATCCGAAGAAATCAAAGAGGTCTGAGATCATTTTATTCTTGGTTCATTTCTGGTAGTTATTATAATGTTTCTGTTTCAAAAAGTACAGCAACTTAGGTTACTATAGATAGTTCTCAGCCTACAATCACAATTGAGCCCAAAATTTATGTTCGCAAGAAAATAATTGCTAATCGAGTTTTGCCCTATTTTATGACCTTTTTTGCCACAGTAATTAATCACTGCAGTTGTTAAGTTAGTAACATGGTTGTTAAGTGAATCTGGCTTTCCCACTGACTTTGCTTGTCAGGAGGTCAAAAAACATGATCATACAACCCTGGGCCACTGCAACTGCCAAGCATCTGGATTTTGATCATGTGACTATGGGGATGCTATAATGGCTGTAAGTGTGAAAAATGGTCATAAGTCACATTTTTCTCAGTGCCATTGTAACTTTGAATGGTCACTAAATGAATGGTTTAAGTTCAGGACTTCCTGTACTATATATATTCGGCTTTTCAGTAATATTGTGCTTACCCTGATAATATGGCTCTCTTTTCAGCTTAGGTAATGTTTACATTATTTGCTAGAGCAGTGGAATGAAGGGATCTTACTTAGAAAAAGAATATTAGATTCAATTGAAAACCACAAATATTCAAATTCAGATGTTATTGAGGAGAAATTACTCATGATATTATGCGACTTATTATTCAAGTGTGCTTAAAGTTATATAGAAATTAATGTGCACATGAGCTAACATATTTACATATTTTCTATATTACTTTAAGAACACTTGTACACCAATTTTGGACCTTGAGATCTTGTAGCCCTATAGTAAGCCAGTTGTTTGTTTTAAGGTATAGCATAAATGACCAAACATTCCCTTCTAAATAGAAAAAATAACATTAAAACTGCAGAATATATAATCACATATCCTTTACAAGGAGTGTAAGACAGGGGAGTCAAACTCAAGGCCCAGAGGCCAGATCCAGCTGTGGGGTACTTATATCTGGCCTGGGGTTGACCTATAAACAGCGAAGAACTGGCCCCCGGTGCCTTTGCCACTGAAAATGGAGTGCGCGAGGGCTGCGTGTGAGCTCCTTTTTCATTGGCAGAGAGTTGCAGGACGCCGTTGCAGCCAAAAATGGTGCTCAGGAGCCATTTTCGCTGGCAGAGTTCTCGGGCCACACAGGCGCCCCTGACACAAGTGACATCAAACTGGCCATGCCCACCCTGGCCACGCCCACCCTAGCCCCCCAAGGTCCAACACAACCCTGATGCAACCCTAAATGAAATCGAGTTTGACACTCCTGGTCTAAAGTGTCCTATAGAAAAATATTGTGATGTGAAGAGAACAAGAAGAAAAGCACAACATAAAGCTCTTACTACATAATGCTTTTTGCTCATCTTCCCCATTGGCACAATTTTGTCTTGTGTCACAAACTTCACTGGCTGGAATGCAGGTCTCTCTGTTATCACATAAAAAGCCTGTCTGCTTACTGGTAGTCACACATAAACGGTTAACTGAAAAATAAAACCAAGAGCAAACAAATTGTAAATACTGACACTCAATAATCAGAACTAACAGTACTGCTGTATATACTTCTATGAAATTTGATGCAATTCAAATTATTTATCTATTTACTTATTTATTAATAAAATTTATATGCCGCCCAATCCTGAAGGACTCCGGGCAGCTTACAAAAAAGAAAAAAAGAAAAAAAAAGACACATAACGAACATATAACAAAAGAAAACGGTTTAAAATAGCAACACCTCATGCATTCATTCTAACAGTGAGGTCAACAGCCCCAGGCCTGCCGGAACAGCCAAGTTTTTACAGCTTTCCTGAAGACCATGAGAGTGGGTATGGTCTGGATCTGTGGGGGTAGCTGATTCCAAAGAGTCGTAGCAACCTAAGAGAAGGCCCGCCTCCGGGGTCCCGCCAGCCGACACTGTCTGGCTGACGGCATCTGAAGGAGGCCCAATCTG